CCTTGCACTCCTCTCCTCTCCTCTCCTCTCCTCTCCCCTCCTCTCCTCTCTTCTCCCCTGTGATAACCCAAGGTGAATCTCCAAGGCTCTTCCATGCCCACTGCGCATCCTCTGTCATGTGGCTTGCTGCAGCTTGCAGCATGCAGAGAACAACATCCCATGGAACACGCTGGCTTAAAATTTCCAGTCTGAAATCAAAATGCATTGACTGTATCTGTATTTATTTATTAGCCAGAGTTTGAATGTCACTTAGCACAAGGCTGTCAGCTATTTTTGGAGTTTCCCAAACTTAAGGGAAGTTTTTCCCCCACCTTTTTGGCACCATCTGGACTTAGTGTTGAGCACATGAAGCTCACTGCAATGGTTTGAAAGCACCTCAGGCATCAAAACTGCTGGTAAAATGAATGCAAGAGTGGTTCTTGCACTTGTCAACAGGTGAATAAGTGTAGGAGCAGCAAGAGCAGCCAGACCTGGGGCTGGCAAGGTTTGTCAGCAGCTGACAGAATGGGTGTGATTCAGATTTTAGCACCTTGGCACCGACCTTGCCACGTAGTCAAGGCAAAACTGCTTTTGCTTTCTGCCCTTTGTCTTACCTATTTGCTCTTTTGGGCAGAAGTTTATTTCCCCATTGGTTTTGGACCATGCCAGCACCAGACCCAGGGCTGCTGTATGGCAGGCAGTGAGGGCAGAGGTGTGTGAGTCAGGATAGGTTTCCTATCACCCCTCTCCCAGGAGCAAATGCTCACTGCTGCCTCCACCTGTAATTTTTTACAGGTAAAAACATCTTTTTTTTTCCCCAGCTGCCAATACCAGTGCTCTGAAATGGGTGAAATCACCCCTCCTTTATTTAATTTATTAAAATAAGTGTTTGTTATGATAGACATCCACCAAAAAGAACAACAGCTGTTAAATTAAGCATGAAGCAACATATCTGGCAATAGCACTCTAAGCAATGAATAACACAAGCCAGGTATAGTTCTTAAACTTGAATGACTAAAATGGAAAAAAATCCTTTTCAAGGTATGTAGCTACAGAGCCACCCATTTGGGTGGGTATAAGGGCACAGGTGACTGTGCACATATCAGGGGACATGGAGATTCGCAAAATATGGGGGAGTTTCTCCATGTTTGCAAACAGTTATCTGGAATACACTCTTGCTGTTCAGTAAAATTAAATTTATAGACCATGTTCTGCTCAGCCCTGGTTGGGCTTTCTGCTCCCCTGGCATTAAAATCCACGTGCAAACATTAGAAATAGGGAATGCTAGAAGTCTGAACCAGCAGTGGAGTGGGCTGGAAAAGAGAAGTGAAATTGAGAAGGGCCAGTTTTCCCTGTTGCATTTCCCAAAATTTTTTAATTTAAGGGATCAAGATCATAAATGCACTGCTACAAATGTACAAATAGAGAGAATTAGGAAAATGAACTTAGTTTACACAGATCAGCATTATCAGCAGAATCAGGTTTATGTGGTCATGTTCACAGTGCAAAAAAAAGAAAAATCCACCAATTTAAGAAGGAAAGGAGGAGGGAGACAGCAGCTGTGGCTTGTTACTCTGTCCGAGTGCATTCAGTCCAGGTTCCTCCTAGAGCAGAAAAGAGACCTTTTCCATCACACTCAGGAGCACCAGAAAAGAGAAACACAAATAGAAGGAAAGCTGCGTTCTCCCCTCCCTGACTCTGTTTTCTGGATGCTTAACAGAATAAAAAAATACACACACAAGTGCCAGGTTATGTCCGGTGTGGAGAGCTGGCCCCAGCCTGTGGGATGCAAAGTTGAAGGACAGCTGCTGGGGCTCCAAAAGCTCATGGCACTGTCACAGACACTGTGTGACTGCTCATGTGCACGATGAAGGCAGAGCAGAAATCACTCCTTTTCAGACCATGAAACATTTGTCCTCCTTGGTGCAATCCACAGTGTCTGGCCAGGGAGGACCGAACCCCACTGTGTTGTCTGGGAGAGACCCAATATTGGGGTCTCCCCAAAGAAGGACAACCGGAGCCCAGGAGCAGCCCTGGGGAGGCTGCAGAGAGGCTGCTGTCCGTTTCTGGTCTTGTGGCACCATCCAGTGGCTGCTGGCAGAGGACCGTCGCTTCCCTGTCACCACCACGTGTCCCCTGGCAGCCCGGCTCCCCAGGGCCCTGGGGACCGAGGTGGTCCCCCGAGCACCAGTGGTGGCCCGGCCAGGTCCTCCAGCGAGGAGGTCTCCAGGTCACTGCTGTCACCTGAAAACTGGAGAGGAGCACAGAGACAGTGAAGGGGAGCAGCAGGGCCAGACCCACAACCCACATTGGCACTCCATGCCCCCCTGCTACAAATCAACAGGGGTTTCTTCTCCATCAGCCTGATGCAATAATTAAAGCAAACAGGGCCAAACATGGTTCCATCAACACACCACACAGGAGATCCTTTCTCTGTTTGCGTGGCTTGCAGGTTGTCCCATAAACCTCATGCTTCCTTTTTTTTTTTTTTTTTTACTTTGCCTAGAATTTCATTGTCATTGCAAAAATTAAAAAAAAAAAGTATTTGTGCCAGGCCTTCCATGGGTAAAATCTTTTTAAATTTTTCTTCTTCTAAAAAAGCAATTTGATTCTGACACTGCCACCACTTTAATTACATCAGCTCTCCCCCACAAATTGAGGTTATGTTTAAGTCCTGTTTTAGTAATTTAATAATTTCACCATTGCATCACTCCAATTATCTCTGGATTTGTTCCAGAGACCTTTTCTCAATTTTATTCTCTGGCACTTACTGTTTTGCTCCCAGTTGGATTAATAATGATTTTTTTTTTTTTCCCCCAAAGAGGGTGAACGGGCGAACATTAGGGGAAGGACAGACGTCTGCAACTGGATGAAGGGGCCAAGGGCCAAATCTCTGCTGCTGTGAGTTTGAACTCCCTGTGCACAGACTATGCCCTTTGGCACTGCTGAAGGGTAGGAGCTGAGAAGAGAGTATGACATGCCTTTTTCATTTTAATGGAAATTATGTCAGAAAACATTCCTGTGGCCATTTGCACAAGATACCTGGAGTTTTTTGGTGGGCTGGCTGGTTTTGGGTGACACCAAGCTCACAGCTGGAAAGAATTTCACCCTGCTGGGTGGTCTCTGTGCCACCGCATCCAGGCATCTCTCTCCAAAAGCCTCACCATTGTGGGTGTGGCTGTCTCTGTGCAGGGCAGAGCAGGTTAAGCAGGGAGCCCCAAGGCACAGTGATGGCACAGCTGGGTGAGAAGAGAGGGGACCACCAGCCACTCCAGGGTGAGTTGGCTTCTAAATAGCTTAAACTCACTAGCACTGTCTGGACCCATCCCAATGTTCCATAAAATCATTAAATTTAAAATGTTAGACCTGTGTGCATGTTTTGAAATCTGTAAGCATAGAAACCTCACCAGGTGATTGCAGTTTAGAAACCAGAGAAACTTGAAACCTGTTAAGCACCAGTGATGCTGTTTGAAAAACCCTTATTCCTCTTATTCTGATTTGAATATCAAGAATTCTAATTAGTAGATATTAGTAAGGATGACTAGTGATAATCTTAGGTAGATCAGTCTCAAATAGAATAAATGATTAAATATAAAATAAAATCTGTATTGCTTATGCTGCTAGCATGCCTCTGTAAAATTCCAGACCTAAGGTATTCATTAACCAATAATCTCTTAGTGGTTAGAAACAAGGACAGTATGTTGTACTCCAAGATGTCCGCAAGACAGGATTTATGACGGTACCCATTGTATATAATCTTTGAATTATGACCAAAGCAGGTACGAGCCAAGAGCCTGTGAGCCAAGGACATGTTCCTTGACCACACATGGTCAATTCGGGGAGTGGTCGAGACCTCCGACTCACGGTCCACCTACCCAAATTACACCACCTACTCAAAAGAGGACAACAGAGGACTAGGACTGAGGCTGCGCGCTAATTTGCATCAGAAGCGAGAAAAGAAGAACCAATCATCGAAAGGATGAAATTAAATACGTATTGTATAAATTAACTATATATGAATTTACTGTATAAATATCTGTTGATTGCAATGTGCAAGCGGACATCTTTGGGAAGGATCCCATGTCCCCGGTGCGCATGGTGCGCATCGTTATTAAAGGGCATCTCATCTAACTGTGTAGATAAGTTTTTCTCACCCACTGCAGATTTGCAACACTGGCAGAGCTGTTTCAGGAAGCAAATGTTTTCCGCATAGGATAAACAGGAGTTTCCCTCCCCAAGCAAGCACTGAGTGGGTAACACTCTGGTGCATGCAAAGATGCTGGAGGAAACCTCCATCTGCACACACAGCCTGGGCTAGCGGTGTGTGACACAGCACTGACAGCTCATTTTGGCCTTGGACACAACATAGCCATGGGCAAGGAGTATCTGCTGCTGTCTGCAGTTAATGCATAGGTGAGAGGTGTCTCCTGCTGTCCCACAACTCTCCAAGGGGCCATGGGGCAGTTCCCACATCATCCCCTGACACATGGCTCACATCAGGTTTTACAGCATATAGGAAACAGTTAAAACAAGCTTTCCTCCTTGTGTTTGAAAGCTTTTTGGGTCCTGTGGAGTCTCCCACATCCTCTAGACAGTCTGTTTTCCCCCTGCACAAAGAAAGAGCTGCAAGATTTGTTGCATCCTAGGAAAATACCCTGGCAGGATCAGGCACAAGTTGCTGATGCATAAAGCTACCAGTGCCCTGTTGCCTGGCTGGGGAGGGGGGATGGTGGGGTAAGAGTCGTCCCACTTCAGCCCCAGGAACAAGGTGACATGGCGGCGCTGGTGGTGCTAACCAGAACTGTCTCCACCACCTCACTGAACCACAGTGGTTGCTACAAGAACAGAGAGTACCTGAAGGAGCAGTTTCCTCCAGGTCCAACCTGTCGGAGTCAGTCTCATCCCCCAGCACCACTGTGGAGAGCACTGGCTCTTGCTCAGCTGTCTCTCAGGGGACAGGGTGGGCTGCTTCTCTCCCAGCATTACTTCTGAGCTGGTGCACAGAGAGATGGGTCAGGCATGGTGTTGCTCTGGCATCCCCCTTCCCTACTCCTGAAGCAGACGAAGGGAAGCCCTGTGGTGCTCTGAGCTGTGATCCAGCCCTGAGCAGGGCAGCCCATGGAGAAGCCCCACGTTCCCCATAGACATCAACAGGTCCATCACACCCACCAACTGCAAACACCTTGCTGCTAGCATCTCTCACAGATACTCACATCCATACCTTGCCTGTGTTTGGTATTGCTTTGCTTGAGTTTAAAACCTTGATCTGGCTTTCTTTTGCTCCTGGAGCAAATAAGTAACTCCTTTTCCTCACCTGCTCTTGGTCACAGACAAGCTCTTGGTCACAGACAAGCCCATCTTCCTTTCTGCTGCTGTCTCACACCCTCTCTATGTTGTTTCTTCTCTGCATGGTCTGCACAGTTTGTCCAAGATATTATTTTACATCTTTAATACTTTTGCTCCAAAACCCCAAGAGAACTCCTTCATCCCTTTGTAGAGGTTCTGGGAGGGGAAGAAGGAGGCAAACACCAGTGGGAAATGCCCCATGTTCTTCTCCAGCACCATGTGGTGGGTACAAGCCCTCAGGTCTGAATTTGCTGAGTTGAGTCAGCCCATATAGACAGGGACACCCCAGGAAACTCCTTTTCCAAACAAACCTCTCTGGGGTGCCACATCACCCACCACTCAGCAGTTTCCAAAGGTGCTGGTGTTTGGGCAGCATTCAGCATACTTGAGTCCAAGTTGTGGCTGAGGGTCCCAGGCACTGCCCGCCCGCCTGGAGACAAAAAGGAGGTAATGGGACTCACCTCTGGCGTGGGACAAGTCCTTGGTGGGGGCTGCTGGCTTTGGAGGTCTGCAGGGTGCTCCACAGAGACCTCGGGGGAGAGGCTGTGGGCGGAGCGGCCTCTGGTCCGAGGAGCACGCTGGGGGATCAGCTAGGCTCCAGGCTCTACTGCAGCTGGTAGCACCATGGACTGTGACCCACAAAGGGACCTGTGGCTTTTTGGGCTTTGAGCTGGAATGCAATACTGAGAGCAAGGAGAACCACCACCCACCCCCTGGTAGTCCTGTGGGCTGCCCTCGGGAGAGCTACGCAGCCCATCCAGCATGGTGTTGTGCAGAAAAATGGGGAAAAAGGGACTTGCAAACACTGCCAAACCTGTATTTCACTCTGCTGGGGCTTTTGGGGAGACCTGACGTTTTTTCCTGAACATGTCAGGCCGACCCACATGAGATCAACATACAGAGAGCCATTGCAGAGTCCTGTATCACCCTAAATGCCCTTTCCTGCCCTTCTCTGTCTTGTTGCCCCACTGGGTTAGGGCACAGCATCCTGTGGCCATCAATAGGTGGCCACAGGTCCCCACAGTCGGTATCTAGAGAGGACAGGAGGTCACTTCACCTGGGATGACAGAGAGGTGTCGAGGCAAAGCACTGATAGGCTTCTGGCATCGTTTGACTTTCCCCCCATGCTTGGACCAACTCGTCCCTCAGGTGGAGCAGACTGGGAAATTTCTCAGCCTTCTGTTGCTGCTGATACCTGACAAGAGCCTGGAGGCTTTTGTAGGTCCGAGTGGAGATTCCCTTCACAACCTAAAGCAGAGGGCAGCTGAAGAGTCTGACATTGTCCTCCCACAGCACCAGGTGGTCAAACAAGCCCTCAGCAGCTTTATCCGTATCTCAAGAGCATCCTGCAAGCTCCAAGCCCTGTCCAAACCCCAAGGAAGCTCTTGCCAGCCCTGACTAGCCATTGTTTCCCCAGCACAATGTATCCCATGTGAACAGCACACATTTGCAAAGCCCTCATTTGCTTTGGTAAATGACTGCTGAAGAGTAATTCTCACCTGTTTTGGGCAATTTCTAAGCTACAGGTTAAGTGCACCGTTTTCATGTGGGAGGTATTTACAGCTCGAGGAGGTTTTACAACCATGAATATCCTGGGCTTGTAAAGATGTAAAATGATGAGAAGTGAAGGGTGAAGGGAGGTGTAAGTCTGTGGGTCTGGCTTTGGGCACCTCTGCTGCACTTGACACCACCTGTGTTCCCGAATAACACGCTGCAGAAAGAGGGGACACACCACAGCCCCAGCCTGTGTGCAGTGAACCCACAAGTGCTCCTTAAAAGCACCTTCAGGAAATAATCACACGAGGAGTCATTCAGTCACTGCCTTCTCTTTGTGACTTCAGGACCCAAAGCAGAAATCCTGCTTTGCTCAGAAACCTGGGTCGATGGAGCAATGCAGGTCCCCAGCAGCCATGCTGCTGCCTGCCCGCTCACTGCCCTTGCATCAGCTCTGCAAGGTGCTAGGTGGTGGTGTTGCATTACCGGGAGCTCGGGAGGACTTGTAGGAGGTACTATTTAATATGCTTGGCATGAAAAGGACTTGGACAATGAAAGTCCCCTTGAAATCCCCATGACAGGGGCTGCTGTGCCCTCAAACACCCTCCTTCCCTAGAAAAGAGGGAGCCCCAGGTAATTTAGCATATGAAAGGCTGCTTGTGAGAATGATTTGCTGGAGAGCAGGTAATAAACGACCTCGGAGATGGGAGCATGGCAGTTTATTCTCTGTGCTACTGTGTGATTCTGCCTCCACCTTCCCATTTGCCTCTCAGGGTGTGATTGCTCCAGAAGAGGATTTTTTTTTTAATGTTTGTTAGTGCTTTGGTTGTTCCCCCCACAAAAACAATCCATTCAGAACAGTCTTTGTGTCCCTGCCACCAGCTCAGGTCTGGCATTGCAAATGCTGGCACTGCAAGGACAGACGTACCCTCTTGACCCCCACGTTCTCCAGCTTTTCCTCCAGCACTTCCCCCAGAATGGGGCGAAACTGCTTCAGGAGGTTTGGGTTTCTCCTCAGGGCTTCCAGCAGCTTCTGCTTCCCACTCGGGGTGGCCTTCTCCCTGTCTGGAGTAAAGGTGGGTGCTGGTACCAGTGCAGCAACATGTGGGCTGTGCCCTGGGGAGGGAGTTGGTGGGACCCTTCTCCTCTTTGAGGAGATGGGTCCCACAAGTCCCAGAGCAAGCAACCGGCTGCTCTCAGCAGACTACAGCCCTCTATGAAAGGGGAACTTTCTCCTCTAATTGGATTAATTCTTGCCCACTACTTTTCCAAAATCCCACCTGCAGCCCAGCAGCTGCCTGGGACAACTTTCCCAGGTGAAGCACTGTCAGCAGGGCTGGTCATGGTGCTGTTGTACTCTACACAGCTGAGAGGAGACCAGCAAGCTCATCCCCTCTGCCCCCAGCCCATCACCTCACTGCCAGCTTTGCACAACACCCCCTTGTCCTCACTGCACAACACCCCAAGCCAAGCGCCAGCTTCATCCTTGGGATAGGGATGGTCCCAACTCCAGTACCCACCTGATGACTCTTCATCACCCACCACTTTAGTCACCTCCTGGGTCACTGCAAGGAATAAAAGAGCCTGTGAAGGTCAAAGATGAGCTGAGGCCCAACCCCAGGAGCAGGTGCTGATCACTACCTGGTTTCCTATACGAAAAGTATGGACACACCCACCCCTTTAGGGATCCAAGGCTGGCCCAGGTCTGGCACCATCCCTTGGAGAACATCCCCGAGGGAAACCCCAGGGCACCCACTTGCTCTCCAAGGCCACTGGCTGGAGGATATCAGTGGGCAAACAGCCCTCTGCTACCCCTCAGGGCTGGGGTCAGCTGGGTATTTGCTAACAGCCATCCCTGTGTTACAGCTTTTTTTTGGTTTGTTTTCTGAACAGCAGCACCTGGCTGGCTCTGCAGCTGTGCCACAGGCATTAGGGAGTGGAAAAGTCCCTGCTTGCTTTCCCTGGCACTTGATTATAAAAAAAAACAGAGTGTAAAGAAGAAACCACTGCATGCCTCAGCTCCTTCTTTTTATGCAAATAACCACCGGCATCATTTTGGAGGAGGCACGGTCGTCCGTTTGCTGTGACCACTTGATTGAAATCTCATTCCTTTGGGGTATGGCTACAATGCAAAACCCATCCAAGAGACAAGTCAGTTTTGTGACAGCAACCAGAGCTGTTGTCTATGGTGTTACAGCAGGTAGTCAAGGGACTAGAAGGTGTCCACTCCATAGCTTTGTGTGAGAGGACATACAGCCAGCTCCCTGGAGAGGACTCCATGGCACACTATTATAGAGGGAGACAGAGAACACGTTGTGGTCTGAAGGGCTGTTAGCTACAAAAAATTTATCTAGACCCAAATTAATTCACTTTAAAAATGCAATCATTACCTTCAGGTTTGCTTGCAGAGAATAGCTTGATCTGTAAAGAAATGAACTGGGCATCATTCAAAGATCATTTCTTTGTCCATAATTTTGGGTAGTTTTTTCCTCTCTCTGCAGAGTATTATTAAATGCATTCAAACAGGGAGCAGAAAATAGCAAGAGCCTAAAGTGGGCATACACACCCCAAGAGCTATTTCCCTTAAGCAGACCATACCTGTAAGGGGTCAGCCTAGAGGCTTTCCTTTCCATAATACGATCACTAGCATATCAGATGCCATCCTGTTATATACACCACATGCTATTTATGAATCTGATAACAAGTAAAAGATGTTCCAAATTGTAATGCAAAGTGTTGTTCTGGTAAGTTGGTGGGCATGGTTCGTGCAGACGATATTCATGCAATGCTTCGTGTTTAATGAGTGCAAAAAAAGAGATGAACATAGCAAAGCATTACAGAATGGACTTGAAATTAGGCTTAGTCTTAGCAAATATTTTAAGACTGCTTAGAGTTAAACATCTGCTTAAACCCTCATGATGAACCAATGATGGGATTTCGTGACTTTGGGCTGCTCCCCAAGATGGGTGCTGAGAGCGCCCACCTGCTGATGGACACAGTCCATAACAGCCCGCTGGTCCTGGGATGGGGTGGCACGGAGTGTCTTGTTTTCTTTTTTCATTTGAAAGGGGTAAAAAAGGGAACAAGAAGACTTGAACATGGTAAAAAGGTTTGGAGTCACCTCTTCCCTTCACCAGCAATGGCAGCTTTCTGGATTTTTATTCATTATTGAAATGTACTCAAAGGGCAGATCTGGCCTTGAGGAAGATATACGGCCAGCTTCAAAGTTTGCTGGCAGCAAACTCGTGTCTTCCCATCATCCATGATAGGACACAGCTTTGGTCACTGAACATCCTTTATTCTTTCCCCTTGATAACATAATAAATATCCTCTGTTGCCCTGGGGTTTGAAGTCCAGCCAAGGCTCATTTAAAATGTGTGGCCCTGCTCTTTCTACCTACCACTTGCTGGGCTGACTTGCAGAGAGGGCATCCCCAGTTCTTCTGAAGAGAGGAGTCTCTTCATCTCCAAGCTTTGAACCATAAAGGAAACAAGGCCTTTTCTGACCGAGGTGCCTGGGAGCTGCCAAGGACATCTGGCACCTACCTGGACCTCCTGTGCCCAGCTCTCCATCTGCAGGTCCTTCGGTGCCTGTCTCTGCTTTGCCCTCTGCCAAATTAAACACACCGGCATTCCCTCCTCAGGTTGCAGGTTGGGGGCTTCTTGTGGGCATGGAGCCCCAATCACATCCATGATCAGAGAAATTCAACTTCCCTTTGGGTCTTGAAGGACGGTTGGCACCGTAACGGCTGTGCCACTCCCAGCTCACTCCGTGCTCAGGGGTACTGTGCACGGTAAAGCCTTCTTCAGATGCTTTTAGATGTTGAGAAGGAGGGTGATGCATGGGTAAATATTTCTTTTGATTATTGTGGTGAGCTTCTTCAGTGCTCTGGTAAAAACGGGTTTCCCTGCAGTAAGCAGGGCTGACCTGGGACTGTGACATGCCCTCTGCACCCTCCAGGTCCCATTTCTGGACTTGGACTGTCAGTGTTCTACACCAGCAGGAGCCCATTGCTACCTGAACCTGAGCTGAGAGCAGATATTCACAAAGCAGATGCATACAGAGGTGCATGGATGTGAGGCCATCTCCATCCACATGCACCTTCTGGGATGCGCAGTAGGAGTAAGGATATGGGTACTGCACTGCTCACCTTCACCGCCATCCTCTCCCGCTCACCCCGCAGCTCCACCCAGCTTGGTGCCCACCGCCATGCCTCCTTGGTGTCATCGTCCTGCAGAGTCCCCAGGTGGGACTCTGCCGCCTCTCTGGCCTGAAGCTCCTGCAGTTTCTGGAGCAGGGAGAGGAAGGAGCTGTGTGTCCCACAGGAGGTTCTGCTTTCCTCCGGGGGAGCTCAACCTTGGCAAGCCACTGCTTCTGACCCCAAAACTCTTGCGTGCCCCAGGAGCAAAGAAATGAAGCCTCTTTGGGTTGTACACCTGTGATGCCACCTGGACCAGGTGAAGCAGCAGGCTTGGACATCCCCTCGCCTGCCTTGAGGAGCATGAGGGGTGCTTGCTTACTCCCTCCATGGCACTGCTCCTGCTGGCCATGTCCTTGAACACTGTGAGGAAGAGCTGCCTCAGGCCATCTATCTCTTCGTGCAGCTTTGTCCTCTCCTCTTTCCACCTTTCCAAATGTCTCCTGCCCTCCTCTTCTCACTGGCGAGCTCTCTCCGTTTCTTAAAGGGCGTGGAAAAATCAAGGCAGGAGATGTCTTGGCTGGGGCTTCTGCCCTGGCGCCACTGGGATGAGCACCAACGCTCTCATTACACGCATTGCTGCTCAGAGCCTGCCTGCACACTGTTGGGAGATCGAGGCAGCACAGCATCCCAAGCAGGCACGCTTACACAGTCCTTATTTCCATGTGACCTTTCCCACAGGAATTTCTGAGGGCAAATTTTCCAAAGAAATAAACACAAGCCTCACCATAAAATATTATTCTGTGACTTTTTCACCTGTGCTTTAAAAACGTCCTATGTTTTACCATTGCTTCTCCTCCCTCCATTTTTTCCAAACAGGCAGCGATGCCCTCACCTCATACCTGCTCCCTTTGCAGCTTCTCTGCTTCCCTCTCTGCTTCCAGCTGCTGCTGTGTCTCCTGCAGTTTCGCCTTCAGCTCCTCCACCTCATCCTCCATTTGCCTCATCTGCTTCATCTTCTACCTCTCTGCAAAGCCCAGGAAAACAGAGGCACCATGAGCAAGGGTGCGATCTGCCAGCTCCTACTGTGATTTTGCTTTGGGTGGGGTAGAGGATCCTATTAAAGCATCAGGCAAAACTGCTGTAGGGTTTTCAGCGTGGAGAGGCAGGTAGGTGAGCTGCAGGAAAAAACATGACAAATGTGATCATGTGGCCTTTGATTTTTGTTAATTATTATTATTTATTTTTGTAAACTTGGAGAGATTATAGGCTCGTGGGGCAGCATGGCTTTGCACTGGGCTTGCTCTCTCCAGCAGCCAAAGCGCTCTGCTTGGACATTGCAGGCTGCACGAGGAAAGGTGCCTCTAGACCAAAGCTCAGCCTGTTGCATTGCATCAGCCCTGGGCTGGGGTTTCAACCTGCCAGCAAACAGTAAAAGCAGCTTTTTTATCTGCCAAGTTCAAGTGCCAGATGCAGGTGAAGCTGGAACAAGGCTCTGCGGCTCTCACGCATGTTACGCCTGCAGCTTTCAAAGCTCCTTTGCAAAGGACCATCAATTCCTTGCCAAAAAAAAAAGGGGCATGGGGAAGGTGAACTCATCTCCTACTCTAGCAAAACATTCTCCCAAATGCCTCAACATAGCTCCATCCCCACGGTCCCACAGAATCTTCAGGTGGAGAAGATCCTTAGGGAAACTGAGGCACAGAGATGAGCTGTAAATGCACACACAGTCTCGTATTCGACTGCATGTCCTACCTCTGATTGAGGGAAAGGCAGCAAGCTGAAAACATTCAGCCATATTAACAGAAATGTGGAAGAAGAAAGAAGTTATAAGAAGTTGTCTTTAACCTCCTGTGGTCACTTTCATTTCCAGCATCTACATGCAGTGGTGGAAAGCCTTCCTGTGAAAGTGAAGAGAAGTGCTCACCCTCCTCAGTGGCCTCTGCATGCCGGCGCTGCATGTGGTCTTGCAAGAAAGAGTTGTTCATGAAGGCTTTATCACAGAGGTGGCACTGGAGAGGGGGGAAAAGTCAGTGCAGGGATGGGGATCTGCAGAAAGGAGCACTCCCCATGTCCCCTGCCTGGCAGACAAAGCTTTGCTGCTTTAAAGCAAAAGGGAAGACTGCAAGGGACATGGCTGTTGTGTTGGAAGCAAATAGATGGAGGGTATTAGGAGTTGTTTCTGTTTGAAACCAAAGGAAGGGGAAGAAGCCAAGATAGTGCAGGGATACCACTTGGGGAAAAAAAAAATGCTGCTTTCTGCAACAGAGCGGTGCAACAGGAGGACCAAAGTAGCTGTAAGGTCCTGGTTATAACAGGGTCTTGTGCTTGCAGGGGTGACTGGGCTGTATGAACCTCAATCATCTGGTTTGAGAGGCTTTTACCTTCTAGGAGTGAATGAGTGCGTTGATTTGGTGATGGGGAAGCAGCAGATGAAAAAGGCACAGCCAGCAGGCTTCCTGCTCAAAGGGTGGGAAAAGGTCAGGCAGGGGGGAGCAAAATCACCACCAAATCCAGGAGCATCCAGAAACCTTCCACTGGTCTGGAGGATGCTTAAAGTCTCCCTGGCACAAGATATCCCCAGGACAAAGGGACTTCATGATACCTCCCCAGACAGCCCTCTACAGCCCCCTCTCACACTATGTGCAGCTCTGACTAGCTGTAGTTGGCATCTGTGGAAAAAAGGGAGCTTCCCTCTGGGCTGGCAAAGACTTTGTAGTCTCCATGAAGGTGATGAGCCAGCGCCAGCGAAAGCAGTAGGGCCAGACAGCACCTTTGCTGGGGCCAAGGTATAACCACAGCAGGCTACAAAGGCAGGATGCAGTAAAAAGCATCCTTCATGGGGCTGTGCTTTACACCCCTTACGCCTTTTCACCACACACCTTGCAGTAGGTGTTGGGGCCAGCTTGCTGGAGGAGTTGGTGTGTGGCAATGAGCTGCTTCTACCTCCTGCTCTCCTCCTTCACCCCCCGGAGCTGCACCGTCTGCTCTTCTGCCTGCTGCTGGGCGTGAGCCAGCAGGATATGGGCAGCTTGCAGGTGCTGGGTGTGCACGGCCAGGCTGGTCCCCAGGCTCTCTTGGCAATGAAGCAGGTACTCGATGCTCAGCTGGGCCATCCTGAGCACCTTCAACAGGACAGGGTCCGCCAGCTGCCCACAGCGGAGGCACCACTCCTCATCCAGGTTGCAGAAGGTGATGCCAGTGATGTGCTCCTGGAGAGTGGCCACATCCACCTCCCAGGCCACCTGCTCCACGTCGATGGCACTGAAGCGATGCCAGACCACTCCAACGCGACGGGGCTGGAAGTGAAAGGGGGGGTTCATTGGGATGGTGAGTCCTGGGGATGCCCATGGTACCCCTGCAGCCCTGGGCATGGGCTGGTGCAGTGGTTGGTAAAAGCCTGCAGAAAAGTGCTGGAAGGCAAAAGGGATGCATTAGAGCTGACTCCGCAGCCATCCTCCGGCTCCACTGCAGCCCCCGCCAGCCTGCACACACTGCAGGCACTGGGGAGCAGGTAAGCAAACAAAAAATGTGGCAGCAAACAAAAAACCTTCCTTTTCCCTCCCCATCCAGAACTGCTATCTACTGCTTTGCCAAATTCTGCAAAAAAACCCCATTCTGTCAGTTTGTTCACCATCTGCTTTTGGTAAGGGAGACTTCTAAAAGTGTCACATTGGAACTCCTTACAATAAACTATTCTGAATGAACTTGTAAATCCCTTCTGAGTGTACCTGTTTTAGGGAAACATGATTAGCCTGTTTGGAAAACAATACACGGTAAACACTGGACACATTTTAATATCACAACAGTCTGCCGCCTTCTGTGGTACCTTGCTCTGACCTAAACCTAGATCACTTCCAGAAGTGATGTTTGCTCATTTTCCTAGCTGTGTCCTAAACAATAATTGAACACACATAGTTAAAATACGTAGTTTTAAATCTGTGAAATCGACCTATATTGTTCTTAGTCTCTAGCTAGGGACTTGCTGCTGCCCCACGTTACAATTTCCTCTCTGCTACACCCACCTGCCACCTTTAAGATACTTCATATTTTTAAAAAAAGCTCTTTGCTGAAAGGCCACTTACCATATTTCTGGGCGTGGATGGTGCTTCCACACAGACTGAGCACCCCGGGACGCAGAGCAGCCAGCGCGGTGTTGGTGTGTTGCTGGGTATGCTGTGCACAAAGGTAATGCGGCTCCCAGTCAGCCCACTGCCCTGTGCATGCCTGTGCCTCCTGCACAGCCTGCAGCTACTTCTGTGCTCCCAAGATGAGGACAAACAAGGTCAGGCAACCCAGGGAGACACTGAATAACTGTGTGCATGATGCTAAAAAGCCAAGATTTCCTAGACTCTCCTCTGCTAACTCAGAGGAAGAGGGGAGAGTGGTTATTGCTGCCTATTTGCAGCAGAAAGAGTGCCAAAATCAGCTCTTTTGCACTAATTTCAGTTCCCAAAATGTTGTTTGCAAGCGGGAGGCGGCAAGACATTTCTCCAAGGCTCTGTCCCACCAGGCACACAGCGTGATGGTAGCATGGGCAGGGCAGGACAAGGGCAAGCAGCTGCCAGGCTGATCCAGCCCTGCCTGCAGGGTTTTCCAACCGAGAGCCTAGCAGAGCCACTTTTCATGGTGCCTGCATGTGTCCTGGGATGAAATGATCCCGTTCTCATCTCTTTTTTTGATGCTGAAGCAATCACAGGCTTTTTCCCAGGAGTTATCTGGGTTTGCACAGGGTGGAGTCAGTTAATACTGATACTGCAGCCAATGACATCTGCAAGCCCATCAGCATTTTCAATCCCATGGGACTGCTTTTCCACCCCTACACCAGGGTCTCCACTACCTTAAACGCCAGGATTACTTCATCTGCATGGTGCTTCCTGTGTCTTTGCAAGGCTGGTTTGCCCTCAGTCCAGCTCAGCAGCACTCAAACCTATTGCAAACCCTGCAGAGTCGTCTCTTACTCTCAGAGACAGAAGGTCTCCTCGTCCTGCCCTCCATAAGCCTCTTCACATCTCTATCTTTGCCTCTCTCTAGTCTGCTTAGTCAGTTTGTCAGGCACCTAAATAGCTTTTTGCCTGTAGTCCTGTCTCCCACTGGGGCCCCTCCCTGTTGCATGCAAATACTAGGGGTCAGTGACTGCTCTGAACCGGTCTGGGTTGATCTGGGTGGCTCTTTTAAGCACTTTTTTAGCTTTACACCTGTCTTACCTGACCCTCTCTTCTTTCTCACCCTTCTCTCTCTCTTTCCACTGCTTCAATATGGGAGGAGACAGGAAAGCCTTAATTCAGGGCTGCAGCTAAGCTAGGAAGAGGTTGCACGCTGCTGCAGACAAGGCATGAAAGCCTCCAGAAACTGTGGATCAGTGTTGACATTGTAGTTAACCAGTTTCCCTCTAGGGCTTGCTCATTTTTTATCTTGTTTGGTGCCTACCTAAAAACACCAGATCAGCAAGCCCTTTCCCTTCCAGGCTTGTATGGCCAGCAGAGATCATTATTGTTGTTATTGCTGTGATATATATACTGTTAGCAGCACTGCAATGTCAAACAACCCAAATCACTGCATCAGGGAAAATGAAGTGTACATATATAAGTACATGCATACATATATATATAGATAGGTGTATATACAGGTGTAAATACAGCCCTGACTCACAGCTGCATGTTATGTAGACCTGTTGGGTAATGGTGCATAGTCCCTGCAGGTGAGGTTTTATTGCATGAATTAACCACTCCTAAAGACAAGAGGTTTGTAGGGACCACTAATTAAAAATCCCCTAAGGATCTACGGCATACCCCAGGGGGTAGGCTGTGTTGCACAACCTCGTTAATATTAACAAGGTCTTCACGCACCAAAGCCAACCGTGTTTCAGCTGCCCGTCAATGCCGACCTGCTGCTTAGCAGCATGGCTGTGATTGCCCCATCGCCTGCTTCAGGCGTGCCTGTGAGTGCTGCAGTCTGCTGGCTTTTCCCCTCCATTTCTCACAGAATGCTATATATAAGCTTCAGCAGGGTGTTGGTAAAAAAATGATGGCAAAAGCCATCTTTATCACCTACGAGGGAAATGTTGGTATTCCTTCACTAGGACTGAGATTTTGCCCACTGGGTGATGAAGACTTTGCCCTCGAGGGGTGTGGGTCAATCGCAGAGGTAGCAGATAGCACCACCCAGCAGAGCTTAGAGCTGAAGGCAGTCATTTGTACCATTTCCACTCCACTGTGCAAAAACCAGCTCTGCCAAAGTGCTGGTAGAGCTGGGTCTCAGAAAGAATGATGGGCTTTTATTTTCCAGGCTGGGCAACAGTGTGTTTGCTGTCCCAGCTCACAGTTGCTTGGTCAGGCTGTTGCATGGTCCTTTTCTTTGCAATCCTTAGCCTTTCGCAGGGAAATCTTTCTGTTTCCTTCTCTTCCACCCTTCCCCATCACCATCCTGGTGCCCTCCTCACCTTCCTGAACTACTCAAGGCTTCTTCACTCCCTGCAAAGTCTAAGGGTGCCCCAGGTGCCAGCATTCCCCTGCTGATCTGGGAGCCTGCAAACTTTGGGAGATGCCTTGCCACAAAGAAGAGAGGTGTCAGGAGACCCAGACGCTGCTTGTGACCTGCTCGAGCAGCTTCCCAACCTCCTCCGGAGTCTTCCCAAATGCAGACATCGCCTCCCTTTCTCAGCTTCTCCTCTCACCAAAATGTGATCTCCTGGGACTCATGCCAAGCAGCAGCAGCTCACTCAGGCAGCTGCAGGAGAAAGCCCCCATGCAGGTTCTTCATCAGCCATGCTTGTTGCCATCAAGCCCTGCTTTACTAAAAGTCCTGACAGAAAACAACAGGCAGGAGAGAGAAGTGAGACAGGGTCGGACCTCATTTGCAGAGGAGCTGCTATGTAACACAGCAGAGCCTTGGAAATGTTTCTCGCCTGAGCTCATCTGCAAAAGGAGCTCGAGTGGGTGAAGTCTCCACCTGTCCTGCAGCCCCATCCCTCCCTTCCATGGACACAGCCATTGCCCGGAGAAGGGAGCCTGGAGAGTTGAGCCATAGGGCAGAAAAAAGGCAAATTACTCACTTGTTGCCAGAGACAGAGATAATAGACGGGATGAAGACAGAAGTGGAGCTATGAACGTGGGCAGAGGCAGCTGGGAGCAGCCTGGGGTCAGTCCAAAGCCATGCAGGGAACAGGGAGGACTTTCTAGGCTGTAACCCTACACTCCTCCCCTGCATCTCCTTAGCCCAGGAAAGTCAAAGTCATGGAGGAAAAGCCACTACCGATACCATAGGCAGGCAAAACCTGCTGTAATGGAGCAGAACACAAAGCTAAACCAGTGCAGACAGCACTGGGGTGTGAAACTCATGGCCTCAGGCTGAGCCATGAGAGCTTCACCCTGGGAAAGGGAACAGCAAAATATTCCCCCATGCCACGTTGCTGCTCTGACAACCCACAGCGCTCATCTTGGCTGCCCTTATGCTGGTGCAGCTTGACTGACTATCGGTTACTGGTGGGGGGACATGGGGCTGGAAGGAACCTCGAGCCCCATGTCCGAACACAGCACGAAGCGCACGTAAACTCTGTGTGGAGAGGGTTTTCTTCTCCCAATTAATCCTGCTGCGACTTCTAGCTGCAGAAAGTGGGCTGTCGATTGCAGCATGTTCATTAGCTGCTGTGTTTACAGAAGATAGCATTGTGCAGATGGCAAACATTCGATGACTGGCAACTGATCCACCCCCGCCTTTCTGCTCCCAAGTTAAAAACAGCTATTCAGACAGACTTAGAAAAGATTTGCAAGCTGGGATTCTTTTCCGGGGGTTGGGTGGATTGGCAGAGCAAGGAGTTGCATCGCTTTCTGGCAGAAAAAAAGTCACTGAGTGCACTGTTTGGGTTAAACGGGATTTTCGAATAGCAGGACAAGGTTGACCAGAGCTACTGCATCTCATTTCCAGGGTAGTTGAACTCCATTTATTTCAAAGGGATTTAGGAGCCCTGGAGGGCCATCCCTATCCTTTCTTTGTGCCTCAGCATCTCCTTTCCGTGAGTAGGCATGACTCTTTGCAGCCAGAACTGACCTCGGAGGATGGGACACTGCAGCTCTTTCCTGGAAGGAGCCAAAGTAAAAGTGCAGGAGTACAGACATTTAAAAGCGGGAGTCATTTTCCAGGGGCATGCAGGGGAAAGCAAGCTCAGGAGTGGTGGTTTATTAAGCATTTTATTTTCACTTGCACTGGTAAGGTCCCTCTCAAAAACGTAGGGTGTAAAGTTCATGTGAGAAAAACACAGATTAATGAAAAGACAGTGGTTTGCGCTTCTCTTCATTAGCAATTACCATCATCCATCCTCTGCTACACATTTACATTACACTTGCCTCAGAGGCTTCTGCCCAGTCCAAAGCCTGTTGTGTTTTTAACTTTTCTGACACATGGGTAGCTGCCAATAGGGCCAAGAGGTGCAGAGATGAAATTCCTCCCAGGAGGCCATGCATCTCTTTAGGAAATTTTCCCTTGGAAAAGTTCACTAGTAAGGCCTGTAAGTCGTTTTGATTCAGGAAGGTTTGGTTCATGAGCACCAATAAGAAAACAGAACTGAGGTAAATGTGTCCTTAGTGTCACGGGAGGCAACGTCCAACAGATACCCACCACCATTCTGCACATGTTCCTTAGTGTCCCAAGGGAGTAGGGATGGTGGTGATGAAAAGGTCTGTCTTTCTCCTACAAAGCCAGCTACTGACACCAGTGCTGACTGTGTTTTGGGCCCAGGATGGGGAGGGCTGGAAGGAACACCCACCCCTCCCCCCTTACATCATGTCATGCAACATCCTCAGAGTGTGTGAAATCCCTCAGCTCTGCGTTTTGGATCAGGTTCTGGTAGGTGGTGGGGCAGTAGGCTTTGTAAAGGTTTTCAGCCAGCGTGTTGCTGCCCGCGACCACGGTTTTCCGATTGTGGTTCATGAAGTTCCACAAGTGCAGCGCATAGGAGTGGTTGAAATTGGGGCTTTTGTCCCACACCTTGTAGTACCGGCTCCAGGCTGGATATGGTATGGGGTAGAAACGCTGAGGATTAAGGAAGGAGACGTTCTGGCAGCTGTGGTCCTCAGTGCCTTTGAAATCCGTAAGATTGCAGATGGTTTTGAGCATCCTTGTCATTAAAAAGGGCCCCTGGTTCCCCCAGACATTCCCATTGTACTTGAGAACAAAGTTTTCCATGCAGTCCCAAATAAATTTGTGGTGGGCAGGGAAGCCAAAGATCCCATTGCTGGAGAACTGCGACTTCTGTGCCGCTAGGAAGCTTTCCTCAGGGATGGGCCTGATGGAGATGACATCTGTGTCCATGTAGATGCCCCCGTACTTCCAAATGAGTGCCAGTCTGCTGGCATCAGAGCTGATGTGGACCCAGTTCTTCTCCTGCTCCGGGACAACCTGCAGGTTTGGAAAGGCAAGATAGTGATGCCACTGACAGAGAGCAAGCCACGTCCAGCCATTGGATGCAAATGGCACTATAAAAGTGCACCTGCACACCTGCAAAAGTCACTGGCTGCCTTTTCTTCCTTCAGCTATTGGATTTTATCGGAATAAGATAAGGGGGCAGTACAGAGCAATGCTTTGTTAATATAAAGGAATGCAGGAACATTTCATGGGTGTTTTGATGGAACTTACAATGTTAAATTAATGACACCATGAATCATTGCCTGCTATTTCAGTGGGACACAACCCACTTAACAGACTCCCTGATCACTTCCAGCTATTTGAAACAGGCTGAAGGGTTTTCATTGGCACTGTTGGTATTTGGAGTTGTTTTTTCTCAGGAGACGGAAGAGTTTAGAGGAAATACATCTGCCCTGCACAGAGATGGAGCCAAACAAATTTGACAAAAGCTACTTGCAAGAAGTTTGCCAGGATCGTATTTCTGGGGTGGAGCTTACAAGATCCCACCTTGGTTTTGTGTATTGCTGTTACAAAAACTAAAATGTCTCCCAAATCTTATCTACTGCAGGCTCTGTCGGTGTGTGGCAGCATTAACAAGCGCTCAGATGACTCAGACAGCACATTTTGTTCAACCAGCTTCTGTTGAGAAAGACTATTAAGCAATGTTTTATCAAAACATGTATGCAATCTATTTTTACCAATGTTTTGTTTGCCAAAAAATCTGATTCTCCAGATAGGGGGGGAAATGCTGATAATGTGTTCAATAAACAGATTAATACACTGCAAACATGGCAAAAATTAACCTGTTCTGAAGTAAAAAAAAAAAATTACTAATTTCACATAGCCAGTCCTGTGTTCCTCCATTCATTTTAAGGCTACTTCAGACTTTCCCCCTGCCCCTATTTATAACTATTTTCCTATTTCCCTATTTGCCCCTTATTACAACACTTACCTTGTTGTACCACTGGAGCAGAGGGGTCTCCTGGAAGACAGTTTCCATCTGAAGAGGAAAAATGAAGACATTCTTCATAGAAGACAAAAGCGAGAAGGCTGCATAGCTGGAGTTCATGTCCAATGCTGTGTCATTCGTAAGTCCCTTCATGAAGAGGATGATGGGCCGGTCCTGGTAAATCCTGGAGGCAGACTCCACGGAGCAGGACACCAGCGGAGGTGGCTCCAGCCGCTCCGTCGTCTCCAGAAAGATGATGCTTTTGCCGAGGTTCAAGACCTGCTCAGGTGTCAGGAAGTGCTTGGACATAGGCATATAGGAGAAAAAGCAGCCAGACAGCAGGGAGATCTCATACAATATACCTGAGACAAAGAAGAAGCAGAAGCATATCTGGAATTTCTTCAACATTCTTGCTTTCCGTGGGCCTTTGGGGTCATGCCTCAGATGTGGTTGCTAAGGAGAGACAAAACCAGCAAAAATATACACCAGTGTTATTACTTAGCAGGACCGGGAAAAGGTAGGACATAGCTTTGGACAGCATAGCATGAAGGCAGTTTGGTGAAGCTCATGCCTTTTCCCCAGGACAAGCCTGGCAAGATGTCTCATGGTGCAGAGGGCTCTGCCCTGTGGGGTGACATGCTGCAGTCCCACCTCCTCATCCCCAACAAGGCAGGGGGAACCAGGAGACGTCTTGGAGGAGGGACATGCAGCTTTGTCTCATGGCACAGCTATGTAGTCATTGGGTTGGCAGAGAGGGAAGGACCAAGGGAGAGATCAGGGAGAGCAAGGTGAGAAGGATCACCTTGTCCCATGGCAAGGCAAGGGCCCCCAAGCCCATCCCTGGGGACAGCTGGTGTAGCAAACTGTTCCCAAGCGCTGCAGCATCATGCCAATGCATGGAGATGTCCAAGGGATCTGAGGAGCAAGTGTGCTTCTGGAATTAGGTGGCCAAGGGGACTATAAATGCCAGTGAGGGGAAGGTCATGATTACAGTTTGGCATCTGTCAGCCAAAGATAAAACATTAGCATGTAGGCACCAAAGTCCTTTGCCTGATCTGGCTCACGCTTTGACCCTGAAGGCCGTGAGGGACTTGGGTCCTGCAGGCTTGAGGGCTGCAGAAGGACCAGAGAGGGGCAGATTTAAGGATAGATAGCAGATGGGTTTGTACAAGCAAAGAACTAGGACCTACCTGGATTATTGTTCTCACAAATCCACATTTCCAGCTTGTTTTCTTGCCATCACGGTGGCTGGGCTCCCTTAAAGCCAAGCTCCCTCGTGAAGACACTCAAACAGTCTGAAGCATGCAAAGAGACTTCTGAAGGCAGGAGACTGATACATGGAGGAAAACTGGCTCTGCTGCAGGCCAAATCTCAGTCCCAGAAACGGTTTGGAGCCAATGGGACCCACCTAGAAGGACAAAGAAGGGACAGCTTTTAGGTGAGACTCATCTCATGCCTACATCAGCCTGACCCAGCTCCTCATTCCTGGTCTCACCACAACATAAGCCTGTACAGGATCAGGGAGTTCCTGCTGGTGAGAGGCAGGATTGAATCTTATCTGCATTGCACTGGTTGACAGGCTCATGATGCAAGGAAATTCCCTCCTGAGGTGTCACCTGGTTGCTCACAGCCCACATTTGCTCTGCAGAGATCATAAGCCAGGGTCCAACAGAGGGAAGACACTTTGAATGACAGCCAAATGTCCACACAACCCCTGGAAGTGTTTAAATCTGGATTAATGAAAAAGAATGGGAGGAAACACAGCTCTGTGTGCTCAGATAATTAATGAGACACATTACCATGTCACCCAGCCAGAATATAGAGAAGTCCACAGTGTAGCAAAGCCCGTGGAAATTCTACTGCAAGCACCGAGTGCATGCATGAAGCTGTGTCAGCTCCTGATCCATTTCTCAGAGCTAGGTCTCATCAAATTAAATATTAAAGTAATGACTGTTCCTATCAGTATGGCTTTCCGTGCTGCATAGCAGATTTTGTTGGTTTTGATTGCCACTGCACAGTTTCTCATTACATCCTGGGTTCCCACAACAGCATGGGTGAAGATACCAGGGGTGAAGTGGGTGATAATGCTATAGCCACCAGGCAGCAACGTGGCTGTGGGTATGACTAGCTAGACAAAGCAGTCTGCAGAGGAGGCAATACTGCTTTTTTATTATTGTTTTTTCCCCATCTTTTTTTTTCCCAATTTCTCTCAGTGCCCCAGCACTCTGCAGAGGAGCCCCTGCTGTGAGAGGCAGCACCTGGCACCCAGGGCCTCCCTGCAGATACTGAATTTCATTGGAAGACAGAATGGACAGCAAATACAAGTGTTTTGGAAACGACTTGTTCCCAAGCCTGCAGATAACACAGACTGTGATGCAGAGTGCTTCAGCCCCAGCAACGTTCAGGTGCAGCATGAATGCCAACTGCTGAGCCCAGCGCGAGAGGGCTCGGGAAATATCAGCAGAAGGGAGATGAAAATAAACTACGTTACTTGAACTACAAAATTTCCTTCCATGTTCCCCTTCTGTCTCTTTCTCAGACACATGCTTCTGACTTACTCCAGCCATTTGAAAATAAAACAGAAAGAAAAAGCTGCCCCCTTGCAGCTCCCTCACCAATATCAGCTTGGCCAGATTTTCAGGCTTTTTTTTTTTTTTTCCCAGTCCCGGCTCTGACCTAAACCATGCCTGCTGCTGTTTCTGTGCTGCTGTTCCAGTGCAGTCCAGAGACTGGAGCTCCCTCCCTCTGTTTCTTGCAATTTTTATATCTTGATGTTACTCTCTTGGCCATGTTTGCTTGAAGCAGAAAACCCAGGCTTTGCTTTGATTAGAAATGGGACCATCAGGACATTCCCATTACCGGGTTAATATTTCTTTTTTGATGGCCTAAAGATCTGATGTCTCAGGTCTTTATGAGCAGCCTAGCAAAAGCGGTGCTCGCAATAGTCGTTCAAATTTAAAATAGTCCAGGAGGCATTTTATTTGCAAATTATGGGGAGAGAATAAGTAGACACTCCAACAGAAACCAGCTCTATGTACAACATTGTGAAGAGAAATGCGAATCTTCATCGTCTCATTCTGGGAAATTGTTTTGCTTGGTTGGTTTTCCAAAACCCCTATGCGGGGAGTTACAAATTCTCATCACATTTGACCTGGAGGCTGCTGTTATCAAAATGTTCACTTCCCTGCTCAAGTTAAAAGGACTGCAGAACTGAATGTTAAAAATAAATCCTAGCCATTGAATAGATTACCCTGCTGAGTGGGTTGCTTTTCTAGATGCAGCAGACGGCATGCTGGCTTGATGGCCCATCTTGTAAAGATATTTCTTTTCTCGGGGCAATTTCAGTATTTCAAGTGCAGGATGAAAACAGGTGGGATACTACAAGAGAGATTACTACGAATACCAGTGCACTACAGCACTGTGACTGTTGTGTGATAATTCCTCCGAGGTGTCCATGAGACACATGTGGCAGGAAGGTACAGCAGGATTTTTCAGTAAATGCCACCGAAGGGAGCAAATCAACCTGCCAGGGTGTTGGCAGCCATGCACACCCCACACCCCCTGCACATCACAGCCTGACACCACAAATGCCAATGGCAGCCTGGCCAAAGGGATCCCTTCCCAGGGCAGCCCACCGGACATAATCAGCCCCGCAGGGACTTGGAACATGGGCTCAGCTTACACAGGGACCAAGTCTACACCTCATTTGCCAAAAAGATTTTTTAAAATAAAATAAAAAACCAACACCTGCAGCTTTCAGTTTGCACAGCCCTTTAGTTCAAATCTGATTCAAGTTTTAGACTATCTGAAGCAAGTCACCTGCATGATGAATTCCAATTTTTGCACTGCAGGTAAATAATACACATTTGACAATGCCAAACTCTGCTGTCACTGAATCCTCATTCCCATGGCTCCTGGGCATCCCTTGGGACTCAAAAGAGAGAGTCTTGTCAATCTTGTCTATGCTAAACGCTGCGGCTTTCCGCTGAGAACCAGAGGGTTTTGCATTTGGGTCCACACACACCCAACTTGGTGACTGTCCTTATTTCTCCTGGCAGGGGGAATAATCCCAAGGCAGTCCCTGTTTGTAACACACACATCACTTGAACCGACACTGGGTTTATTTTCATGTCTTCACAGAATCTGCTCAAGTAAATTACAGCTACGAACAAGCTAGCCCACGTGCATGCACTTCAAAGCCAACTTCCTTACAGATTTAACACCAGGCACATTTGGAAACCTCTTTCAAATGGAAAACCTGTAGAAGAATATAGAGTATTCACTGCAGACTATAATTAATGCAGCCGTTTGGACGTCCACATGCAAACGACGGGGCTTCTTACTGCACGGCTTCTCACCTGCTTTCTGATTATACAACCTGACACATTTAGAGATAAAGCAAAACTCACCTCTTGGCTGCAAAAAGCAGGAAAAGCGTGCAGTCTGTGGAGAAGCAAAGCCAAGCTGAACCACACTGGAAGGTATCCACAGCCGGTGGAGAGACCTTTGCCTGTGCCAGAGGAGCTACATTGCCTCTCTACTATCTTCTGCCCTGCTGGGGCTTAGAGCAGCCTCATGGCTTGCTCTCCACCAGCTCTGATGTTTGCATTCTTGGTGTGCTGAGATAAGGCCGGGCAAGGAGCTAGGGCTGTGTTTCAAAGGTGCAGGCACACAGGAGCATGCAGTGTAAGGTCCTTTGGGCTGCCAAAGGTGAGTCTCGCTGCTCTGCAAGAGTCAGAAGAGATAGGTGGGACTGAGCAAAGTGGGTGCCAAAAGGCAGACCATTTGCACCATTTGGGAGTGGTTTGCAGCATATTAAGCCTTTTCTCTTTCTGTCTAGGACTGTGCTAATGGAGGCTACTTTACTGTTCTTTGCCCTACAACACTTTGCTGGAGTGGCATTGATGCTCTGAATACTTCCAAGGAAGGTAACAACAGGGCTTCCTACACAAACAGATCCCAAATAACACCTCACATCCAGAACTGGATGCCTGACAAGCTCGCATGCCTGCCCAGCTGCCCATTGGAGATCAGGCATGTGAGGAGGTTTGCTGATCTGTCAGAGCCTCTGCTTGTCCCCACAAGGTGTCCTCAGGATGTCTCAAGGGGTACAGGAGCACCATCAGGTGCCCCCAGGATTGGGATGACCCACCTCAGGTTGGAAGGATTCCCCAGAGCTTTGTTTGCCCTGGGGTCTAAGGGCTATGAGCTTCAGTGGTCATCCTGTGCCAGGACAGCAGAATTTCTGAGACAGAGGTGGACTTGTAGCATCAGAGACCTCCCAAGTGCATTGCTCCTGCAACCCTGACCTGTGCTGGACCAGCACCACTCAGCCCATGCGAGGAGACTAGAGCATCCTGCTGGGATGCAACCCCTGGCTCCCAGTCACCCACAGCAAGCAGAATCTTTGCAGCTTCCTTCCTGCTCTTTTTGCCTTCTCCTCCTGATTTTTGGCAAGGCTATATATCCAGGGCAGCTTTGTCCAGCCAACGAGCGCCGGCAGCCCCGCATATTGTGCACATGCAAGCATGGCAAAACCACTCATTTGCCACTCAGAAAACCATCTTTCTCCACCAATAGCAACCGTTTAGTGCTCATAAACTACCAAAAAGCACTCAGCTCATCCCTCCACAGCTTGTGATGGCAGCAAAATGCCAGCCTGCCTGCTCTTAAAAATTAGCCACTGAATATGCCTAGGCTGTGCCTGTTCACTCCTGGCCAGCTCCGGGGCACCTCACCTCACCCCACAGCAGGGTGCAAAGGGCCTGCCCG